CAGAATTAGTTTCAAGAACTGACTTAATTTTGGTGTTACTCTTGAAAGCTATAAACACTCTCAAAGAGGAATACTGGAGTATTTTGAGTGGGAGAGGATCCCAAAGACAGAGGAATAGGAAAGTTACAAGTCTGACATAAATGCCCCCATAGGCGGTTCCCAAGCTAGAGGTCGTGACCCCAAGAGGGGTCATCCACTTAGTAAAAAGCCAATTGTTTACGCTGGCATTAGGGATTTTTGGCTTGACAGAAGCTTGTAGAAGAAAGTAGAGTCACAACCAGAAAAGATGTGGAAAGCACTCACCCAGGTAATTACAGAGAACTACTCTCTTTCAGCAGTCAGAGAAAAATGACAAAGTGTTTTTGTTAGTTTGCGAGGAAAATGGGTGAAAGTTAGAAGTTTAGTAGACATCTCCAAGCCTAAATCATTTTGACAGAAAGCACAAGTTTGTCACAGGATTGGCACATGCTGTTAAAACAGAAATATTGGACTTCAGATGTTCAACTTCTCACTAGAGGGCTAGCCCAGACCGTACTGTGGAGAGGGGAAAGAATGTCACCTTTATTTTTTACTTTTAATCAAAATATACATATACTGCAGAGCAACAGCTGCCCAGTGGCATCTCATACTCTACCCTTCTACAGAGATAGAGTTTGACAAGAGTCAAAACATCAAATGAGGACAGACATACACATGACCCAGACAGATAGCTATAGAGGTACGAGCTACGTTTCTAGCTTCCCATAAAAATCAGGTATTTAGGACTTCTCTAGGCTAACCTGGAAGGATGGCAAGAGTAGGTAATCTAATGACCTTTTTCTGCTAGGGTGTTATGTAAAATGGAGCATGTTTACAAGTTAACAGTGGAGCGACAGCTAACTTTGTTCTACTTTATATTGTGACTATATATCAAAGATTGGTCTTTCTTCCCACTTACTTCCTCAGGAAAAAATTAACTGGACCTCTCACCAGTTAGCTGAAGAACTGCTGATGCTGCAAATTTAAAACTAAGAAAATACTGGACACAAACTTGGAGATCAGGAAGAAGGCCACCTCAAATGGAAGAACAACAACAATAACGTACATCAACCATTTAACGTAACCAGACTAGAATCAAGTGAATGTTATTTACCATAATGTCATGATCTATATGAATAACCACTGTTCAGCAGCGTCCTTATAATTAGATTACCCAGGGTCAACATGTCAGCAATATAAATTGACATGTTTACAAATTTCAGCATGCTGACTCTTACTCAGGGGCAGATTAAACTCGATGGTTTAAGGCACCACTATGCTCAAACATACATCTTGCTCCTCTCCCAGGGGTTATTGTCCCTGTGACAGATGTCTGAAGGGGAGGATTCTGGAAGTGCTGCAGTTTCCATTGTGGCACATTAAAGAACAGCTCACCTTCCATTAAGCTGCCCCTCCTGTGCAGGCATTTACAACCAGGACAGGGATCAGATAAAATGGGACAACCTCTCCAGTCGTTACCCGCTACTGCACATAAGGTAGTCTCAAAGAAGCACAAGACCATGTGCACTTTGGAACTGCTTTCTCCACATGAACGGTTTTAAAGTATGGGTGAAAAGGCTTGCACAATTGCTAACTCATCTAGACTTCTTTTTGACTAGAGGATTTTAAAGTGAAGCCCATCATAGCAGCAGCTTTTCTATGCGCATCATTGCAAAAAAATTTATTTAAAAAAAACGAGTAATTATTTGATAATTCATATACTTTACAAATACACTGATGAGCAGTCTTAAAAATTAGCATATATTGTTTATATCACATCAAAATTGGAAACAAAAAAGTCCAAACCAAAAAACTCTTTACACCTAAACATACTCCTAGAACAAGCTGTCTTCATAAGAGAAAGTTAAGACTTTTGCAATCTGCTATTAAGGGAAAAAAGATCTTACGCAAGTCAAAACAACAGGTTTAAATTTTCATAAACCTGTCTTGGCTTAAGGCCAGCACTGTAACACTTTCTTTACAAAGAAAGAAATGCAGGAGAAAAAGAAAATCTTTGAACAGGAGGACAAAAGAAACATATCCAAATATATTGACATCATTCACTAATAAACTCTTCAAGGGGTTATTTAAGCAAAAAAGAAAAAATAACCTCAAAAGCTTATACCACATTTTTTAATTGGGAACTTCATATCAAGCACTTAATCGGGGTACTGACTACTATTGACGAAGAAAGCATAAGACGTGTATTAAAGAAGTTTACTAATCAAAGCAGCAGCTGTAGCATCTCCTACCCTTCTCCAATAACATATCCCGAGAGATGTCTATTCGGACCATTTTCAAATACACTTATTACATGGCAAGTAGGAGTAGAAATAGTGCAAATGCGCTATTTAGTGAATTAGTCGAATCCATGACCACAGTTAAATAAGATGCATGCACCTATTTCCACAAAATGGCTCCTCAAAGCCATTCCAGTTTGCTAAGGTAGCCTAATTTTTGTACAAAGGCACAGAAAAGTTATGAGCAAGTTAATTTACATTTATACTACTTGAAATGTCAGGTTTTTTTTTTTTTTTAAAACCCCTTCCTCTCAACACCCCAAACTGGAAATGATTTTACAATCAAGACCTGAAAAATAAGTCATTTGTGGTCATCATACATTTAGTGGAAGAAAATAAAATGCTTTAATACTCTGTGCCTTAAAATTATAGACCAAAATGACTACCACAGCAAAGAGTAATTTTTATTTAAGTTCCATACTGCAAGCGTGCACAACACACAGAAATAGAAAGATAACGTGAATCAGTGGCACAGGAATGCTGAAGCACTCTTTATGAAAGTGTCATAATGGCCAGGATATACTGACACTAATTTCATCCCTGTCTCCCTCAAATGACTATTGTTTCAGAGTCTTTCCTAACGTTAACACAAAATTCTGCAGTGTTAAAGTGGTTGTCAAGTGAAGCTATATGTCAAGTTTCATGCTGAAACATATTTCTGCTCTAGCTTGTAAGATCTTAAAATGAAGAGATTATTTTTTCCTCAAAAAGGGTATCCTTTATAACCACATGACAGAGTAATAATGCTGTAGGAGCAGCTAGCTTTCTAACACATCTATTAGACGTGATTCTGTTTCTAGAACTGTGCAATGGAATTGAAATACATTCTCAAATACAAACTGTACTGAATGCCAAAGTGGACTCTGATCACAAGGGAGAATCATTCCATGCTTATACACACAGAGATTAGTCATCCACCTTAAAAGTCTCTCTTTTCCTGCTCATGTGATATTTGCCAACATCCATTTCATGGTAGCAGCTAAGGCTATCTAGACCCAACCCCCAGTGTCACATCACACAAAAACAAAAACGCACATTCAGCAAGAACAAAGAAAAAAATCTTCCCTTAGATAAGGCTGTAGGAAGTTTTCAGAAACACCATAAAGACTTCGTGTCACAGGTCTAACAATGATGTTGGCAGAAGCGCAAGCCTCTGCACCTGGCATGGCTCACAGGTTCTTCTCAGCAACACCCCAGTTAGCAGCCAAAGCCTCACAAAAGGGTTTTGCGAGCTAAAGCGCCGGCTGAACCATTCCCTCTCAGTTCACACCGCTCAGCTCCTCTGACAAAGACCTTGTGTCATTGCAAGCCACATTGCTGGAGAAGAGGGCGGAGTGAGAGAGAAGGCAGGCACACAGGGAAGAAAAAATGCAGTCTACAAAATAGATGTAATCTACAATCCATGACACTCAGTCCTTCACTGTCTCCTTATAAAACAAAACAGCTGTACAGTCTGACTACAGCCAAAATCCCCAGCAGTTTTCAGAAGGCAAAGAGCTAGAGGAAAAATCTCAGTTGCCTTCCTTGCTCTTTAGAAACGATCACTAGCAATGCCATGAATATAATACCTAGATACCCCAGTACCCAAAGCATCTTATCTTATCCTGTAAGGCAGATCAATTACCAGTCATAAAAAAGTAACAGCAAAAAGATACAAAACAGTAAACAAAAATAACTGAGCCAAAGGCCACTTTGAAATGCATGAATGTGGTTGAGATTTTGCAGCCCTACAGATTCAAAACAAGGAGATAGCGCCAATTCCTCACCCTCCATCTTCATTAGCTCCTCACCACCCCGCTGCCCAGCTCCACTTTCATCATTATTTCAAATAAATCAGACTTCAAACAAGCGGACTGCTGCAATACTAGGGGGGTCCTTGCCCCAAATCTTCCCCCCTCCACCCGCATCCATCGTCCTCCATCCCAGCCC